GCTGTTGGGAAGATTAGCAGACTTGCATTCCACTGTTAATCCATCTCCTTTGTGAGAATATATTACAATGCTTTTAATTCCGCCCAAAATATTATGTTCTTGCCTAGGGAAAATCTGAATACCACAAAAACTTTGAAATCGCACAGAAGCTGTGTGCCCAAAGCTTCTCATATTGGAGGAGAGAGGCTGTCTCTGAGGTTGTGGATCTATGAGCAGCTGCCCAATAAGGACAAAATAACGTCAACTTAGCTTGTTCACTCCTCTTTAGTTGCCATGACTAGGGCTTTTTAATCTGTGGAGATTTTAACAAGATTTAGCAGCATCTAATGTCATCTGCCCTTGGCACAGCGCTTTCCTCCTTTTAGAGCCTTTCAGCCAAAGGAACGACCATTTAATGCAGATGCAGGAACAGGACCTGTCCATGACATCAGTTGTTAATCATTTGGGAATTCTGAAGGAGTCAGTGAAAGAACAACTATGAATTTCCAGATTTTCTGAGGAAATAGAAGCACTGTTCTTTGCTTCTTAGTAAATGATCTAGTTCTGATACCCTCTGCTGTCTTTCACGTTGTCTGCTAGACCAACTGATGCAGCTAGGGGAAGTCTTTAAGGGAAAGAAAATACAGGCTTATGGTTTTGTTTTGAGGCCACCTTTACATTAAGACTTATTTTCCTACTGCTGTCAACGTGTGCAGCTGTACTTGCAGTAGTAACAGTGCAACCTCATCTGTATCAGCGTTTTGTGGGTGATAACAAAAAGTACAATTGCTCCTGTGGGAAGTTGAAAGGAAAAGTGTGGATATGAACACAGGCTTGGTCCAGTCTCCTAAATAGGTCTCTCCTTGGGTGTTCTCCAACTAGGACCTTCCATTGTCTGTTTCGGTCTGGGGAAAAAAGAAATCAGGGAGTTAAGTCAAGGTACAACAATTTCTAATTTGCTTTGATCGTTGCAAACTGGATTTGCACATCCAGTGCTCACCCACAGTTATGAATGAGCTACATCCCAGAAAGGGAAAAAGAAGTGTGTTCTGAAAGAAAAGTCCAGTTCAGGGAACTGGAATAATTCCGTTGTGCAGGGGACAATGTCTAAGAAAGTTGGATTAAAGTTACTCAAGAAAGCTAGGTGCATTGTTTGCAGTGAGAATATTCTTCATGGTGCTTGCCTCCCTTCAGTCTGTGAAGTGGGGTAATTTTCTTTCTTTTGGTAAATTGTAAATATCCAACTTTAGTGAATGTAGTGTTTTCTGGTCTGCTATTCCAGTTATGTGACCCTGTGCCTATGCATAACAAAAGGCACATGGCTAGGCTTGCTTGCATCCAACATCAAAAAGGATTGTGAGCACCTAGTAACGCTTAGGGGTGGAGAAGAGTCTTGTCTGGAAAACCAAACGCCTTCCCCGAGAGCCACTTGCATTCCCAGGCTCCAGTCCTCAACTCACCTGCCCCAAATCTCCAACTCTTCTCAGCTCAGACAGTCATGCTGACAGCCCATCTGTTGCAAAGCTTCTTCCCTGCCTTGAGCCACCCCAGGCTCCTCGTCAGCCACCTAAGATCTGCTTTATTCTCTCACCAGAGGTCCTCTGCTGCCTCCAGCCCTGAGATGCTCCCCTCCCTCCTCCTGCTCAAGGACCCTGCTAGCCTGGTGCCTGCCTTCCCATTGCGTCCCTCCTGAGTCTCTCTCGTATCCCTGTTCCATCTGCCTCTTTTGGAAAAATGACATTTTAGACCTGGTATGCCCTGCCGGTAGGGGTGAGGGCAGTTAGCTGTGACACATGGGAGAATAACATGATTACAGGCAGAGGAAAGAGCGTCTATTCGGCCAGAGCCAAAGTGGGGAAAGAAAATTACTTTGTCCTTTGGGATGACCCAGCCACAGCTCAAGAAAGGGGCGGTGGAGAGAAGCGTTAGCCTTGACCAGGATGAATTGCTATGAGAATGCTTTGCCTCTCCCTTCTTGAATAAACTCCCCTTTTTTTTTTTTTTCTGGTAGTGTTTCTTGGATAGTCTAATCCTCTTTCTTCTTACAGAATATAAGCATGGTCATTAAAGGTGCTTGGCCCAGAGCAGTCAACGTGGCTGCGTGTTTTCTTTACAAATCCCTCTTCGGGGTTAACTGTTTTTCTTCTTCGAATGGACATTTCTAAGTGAGAGCCTGCAGTGAGGAGGAGGTGGCAGTGTTGCAAGAGGCCAGCCCGTAGCAGACGTGGGGAGAGAGTACAGCCGTGGTCCTGTCAGTGCTTTCCAGCCATCGTGCCTGCATGTGGTAGGTGCTGTGCAGCCTCGGGAGGTGGTAAAAGTCCTGCCACCAAAGAGATTCCCCCACTGCTGAGTGAGATTTGGACATTCGTGTCCCTTGCGTGTGTCTGAGTATCAAGCTGTGAATGCTAAAAGCAACAAACAGAAGGGAAGGAGGAGGTTCTAGTGGAATGGGCTGTCTCTCCCTGATAGTGCTTAACGTTCCTACTCTTACAAGCTTAAACTCTTGCCTGTGTACTGCTAAACAACGTACTGGGTTTGTGGGTATGACAGAGGAAGAACATTTGTTTCCTATGGCTTCCTGCATTCGGAGATTTTGCTGCCTTCACAGTTCTCACTGTACCGTGTATTCCTCAGTGGACAGAGATGCCGGGTTTAGACTGGCTGGCTGACGTCAGGCTGTCCTGGAGAGCGAAGAGTTGTGGGTTCTCCCTCGCCCTCCCCTCTACCTGTGCTGCCCGTCATCTGCAGGGCTTTCCCAGCTGGTCTCTCCTCCCCACTCCTGGCATTTTATCTGCTTTTCCAGCCTGTGGCTGGACAAAGCAAACATCTTATCACTTTGTACACTAAACAAATTAGTCACAAGGCAAGTGCTCTTATTCCTTTCTGTTGCTCTGACTGCCCACGCCAGTGTTCCCCTGGCTGTTCTCTCTCTGAACCCTTGGAAGCTCTCCAGCCCAGCCGTTCCCGAGTAATGGATCGTGGCAGACACTCCTCTGTCCTCGCCAAGCAGAGGACAGTCCAAGTATCTGGAGCACTGAGGGGCACTTTGCTCTTTAGCCGTGATAACTCTTCTTAGGAAAACAGATCCTTAGCCAGTATTTTTCAACCATGCAGTGAAAATTTTGCCAATCATTAGAAGGGGAAGCGATGCATCTGCCAGCACGTGGAAGTTGGCAGTTGAGGGAAGATGTGCTCTGCTTGGAGGAAGTGGAAGCTGATGCACTAGGAAAGAAAACGGGCCAAAGACTGCACCTCTTTTCTGCTCCCTCCAACCTGCCCTGCCTTCCCCCTCTCCATTTTCCCCTGCTCCCATTCTTTCTGTTATTTTTCATGTATTCTAAATACTTTCTTAGTCCAGAACTAATTAGCTGTCGTTAGATGGAAAGCTGCAGTACCACGTGGCGTGGTGCCAAGCTTCCCAGGCAGCGGTGGTGTGTCTGGGCCAGCTGGTGAGGCACCCGTCCGAGGACGAGGCAGCTACGTCCCAGAGCAGGGCAGCGTCGCTGCGCCTAGAGAAAATGGGGACGGCGGACGGGCTCTGCAGGCTTCGCCGCTCTAGCATGTGAGCTTGGGTCCGTCGTTGCCGTTGTGCAGAGAAGTTGGGGCGCGGGTAGACGAAGGACCGGCCCAGGGCGGTGCAGACCAGGAGCTCGGCCTCCG